TTAACCAAGCACAATATTTTTATTTAAGTTTGGGGTGAGATTGTGGCCATGTGAAGGTCGCTAATTTAAATCTGTTCCTTCAATATTATTGAAATGGTTATTTTGGAACGATTTCTTTTGTTTGTCCTCTTTGTATGATTAACCCATGTGAGAGTTGAGTTGTTGGTATTATAATAGACTCGGACTCTAGAGATTGTGAATTGTGGATTGTGTATTGTGGACTATGGATTATGTATTGTGGATTGATGATTGAGTATTATTGATTGTGGATTGTGGATTGTGAATTGTTACACAACCATAAGGGATGAAAAATAAAATATTTTGATTTTGAGGAAAGAAATGTAATTTTATCATTTTAGTTTCAATAAAAATTCAATTTTAAATTTCTATGCTTGGTTGTGATTGATGAATATACTACTTACGGAGTTCTTAAATTTACATTTTCAAATTTCTTCTCATTTCAGGCAAAGAAATATGAGCATTGGGTTTTGCATGGGGATTGACAGATCCTTAGAATAAATTGACAAAAATTTAGCAATAACTCAATTGGAAGATTATTTGGTTTTATAGAATATGATGTTAACCAATTTATGTTTTGGTTAAGAGATTTGATCTTATTATTTGGAAACTATTAAGATTTGTTAATGGAATTGTTTATTTTAAAGTTATAAGGCTACATTAAAACTTTATGGGAGATTGTATTGATATGCAAGTAGATGGCCTTACACATTCATGAGGTTATTCTATAGAGGTATGGCATTTGCTATGCCTAAACCTATGGGTTGGGCGATGAGAATCTCTTTTTTAACAAAACTGGAAAGATAGATATCCATGCAATCTTTAAGCCTTGTATAGAATTTTCTATTTTCTGCAGAATCTATGAATTTTTATTTTTATGAAACGTATAAAACTATAGCATATGTTATATTATTAAAGACTTTACAAACTTTAATACTTATGTGTTCATTTAAAATTGGCCAATTCAATGTTGGGCCATTCAAAGTTGAACCTAACACTATACCTTGCAACAAAGGGTTGTCCAACTAACTTAATAATAAATGTAGCAAAAACATACTCCATATATAACTCACTAATAATCTTGGTTGCCATTGAACATCTTCTTGAATTGTGCCACCTTCAATGTTATAACCACAAGTATCCAGTGTTGGACATCATCCACCCATTGAAAATAAGCATATCTCCAATTTTTTACAAAAATCAAAGTTCCCACAACTCCCCAAAATCCAGTTGCAAAGCCTAACAACACGACAATGTAAAACCACATTCTTTTAAGTGCACCTTCATCATTGTCCTTGAAGTTGGTAGTTGTCGGAGGTAGTGTATCATTTGAGCATTTGTTCAAGAGTGGAGCTCCACAAAGTTGAGAATTGCCAACATACATGGTTGGATCTTCAAGTGTTTGGAGTTGATAGCCTGTTGGAATTGGCCCTGACAAGTTGTTGTAAGACAAGTTGAGGTGGCTTAACTTGGTTAAACTTGACATGCTATTCGGGATCCTTCCTGAAAGGCCATTCTTAGATAAATCAAGAGATTCCAAATTCTCCATTTGTCCAATTTTCTCAGGGATCTTTTCTGAAAGATGATTCCAAGACAGATTCAAATTATGCAAATCCTTCAAGAATACTAGCTCCTCTGGTATGGATCCTATTAGATTGTTACTTGAAAGATCTATACTAATCTCGAGTCTCAAAGTTTCTCTTTTATACTCAAGGTATCTCCCTTTCACAACCTCCATCAAAGGTGCCTCATACCAAGAGTCATCACTTAAGTCATCCATCAATTGTGTTGCATTCACCATGATCGGAAACTTTCCAAAACAAGAAGGAATCGTTCCTGTCAAATTGTTATCCGCAAGATCCAGAATTTGCATTTGAGAGAAAGAGCATAGTTCCAAAGGAATATAACCGGAAACCAAATTTTTTCGCAGTCGGAGAACCTTTAAAGAGTGGTTGTGGATCTCCCCCCCTACAATGCTTGTTAAATTTCCAGAAAATTTATTTTCACCCAAATCCAAAATCACTAAAGAAGTGAATTTTTTCAACACCACATGTAGTCCCCTATGGAGACTATTGTTGTTCAAGTGCAGTACACTTAAAGAAGAAAGCTCCACCATTGTGCTTGGAAATAAACCCGAGAGATTGTTAGAAGATAGATAAATAAAAAAGAATGATTGATCGTTTCTCCAACAATTAGGAATACTTCCGGATAACATATTATTTGAGAGATCAAGATGTTCCAAAGATTTTGAATTGCATAACGACTTTGGAATATTTCCAGATAACATATTGTTTGAGAGATCAAGTGCTCCCAAATGTTTTAAATTGCATAATGACTTTGGAACTGAACCGTTCATGAGGTTATTTTCAAGATATAATTCCTCCAACATTGGCATCATATGACCTATGTTTTCTGGAAGATGACCTGAGATGCTAGCATTAGAGAAATCAATCATGCTTATTGTCTTTGGTAATTGAAGCCATTTAGGAAATCCTATTCCAAATTGATTCCCAGAAAGATCCATGGTCTTTAACTTAGAAAGTTGCCCGATGCTATCTGGAATGCTGCTCAATTGATTCTCAAAAAGATACATGCTCTTTAACTCAGAAAGTTGCCCGATGCTATCTGGAATGCTGCTCAATTGATTCCCAAAAAGATACATGCTCTCTAACTTAGAAAGTTGCCCGATGCTATCTGGAATGTTGCTCAATTGATTCCCAGAAAGATCCATGCTCTCTAATTTAGAAAGTTGCCCGATGCTATCTGGAATGCTGCTCAATTGATTCCCAGAAAGATCCATGCTCCATAACTTAGAAAGTTGCCCGATGCTATCTGGAATGCTGCTCAATTGATTCTCAGAAAGATCCATGCTCCCTAACTTAGAAAGTTGCCCGATGCTATCTGGAAT